CGCAACCCCTCGGGGGGTCCCGACCCCCACTTTGAGAACCACTGAGCTATAGAACCACATACAGCTGTGGTCAGAAGTTAACAAGAATTATTATATTATTTATAAAATTTCCCATCAATTGCATTTTATTTACGTCTATGTCTATGCCTACCCCAACCCTAAACTCAACCATCACAGTAATGTAAAAACAGATATGGATCTGGAGTCTTCTCTATTAGTATAGCTGATTAACCATGTGGATGGATGATAAAAGCCTTCTGAGCCTACCAGTAGGCGCTGAAGGCCCCTACTGGCCCATATCTATCAGCTGAAAACCATTGAAGACACCCCTTCAATGGAGTTAGAACATTAGAAGTGGGTGCTGCAGTTCAGCACTAGTTGAAAATGGGAACTTGTGTAACAGCACCTCTCCAGTCTTTCGACCATACTGAATCTCACAATCAACACAGGTGTGTCTCTGTGCTGACTTGCCCTTGAGTTTTGCATCACATCTCTTTCCGAGGCTTTTAACTGGGTTTGGTAATAGTTGGCACTGGGACATTCTATGTTAAAAATATGAACTTCTGTAGATCTTGATTTTGAAAAATAAATATCCCCTTGCCCACCTCATTGGTCTCTCCAGTCAGTTTAAAATCCCCCTTGCACCCAAATTCAAAATGTCCATTAATCCCAGTAGGGGTGATCTCAGATTTTGATTTTGTACCTCAACTCTCTGGCACAGCAGATTTGACCAGTATATTTTTTATTGCCAGGCTGAAAAGAGTGACTGAAACAGTGAACCAGTAATAATGGCAATCTCCAACCTACACTACACCAATGTTAGTTATTTTCTCTGATAAGACTCTCAGGTGGAACTCATCAGTATTGATTGATAGTTTAGTTCTTAATTATTTAGTAAAATATAGTTTGGTTAAGTGATTCTGCATAACAGATCAGCAGCAGTAAAAGCAATAGTGTGATTTATTAATAGTTGGAATTGTGGCCGTATTACTGTATCAGTCCTCTCAATACTCATATATACAGCGCACACACTTCCTGTAGTCATTAAATTTGTCCATATCCAGAGTTACAAAGAGGCCAAGTTCCTTTAGAATCTATCTACAGGAAAATGAAGGTCTTCCTCTTATTCTCAACATAACAACTACACTAGCACACATTCCCTATGCCAGCTAAAAATGTGGTAGTAAGCCATACATTGTAGGTAAAATATACAAACAAAGGTTTTATCTACGCTATGCAGAACTTCCTTAAACATCTGGTTGCTCCATAATTAAAACATGGAAGAGATGCTGGGTCACTATATATAATTTGTTGTATAAAAAGCGTGTTGATCTTCACAGTCAAGCTTATGGTGAGACACTGCAGGAAAAAAACTGTTATTTATACAGTACTTTTTAAAATCCCAAATACACCTTTAATTGTTTCTTTGTAAGGGTGTGAAAATTAATTGTTTCTTCTAGAGCTGCACGATTCTGGCTAAAATGAGAATCGCAATTTTTTTTGCTTAAAATAAAGATCACGATTTTCTCACGATTCTGTAGATGTAAAATAAAGGTATGACAAAACAAGCATATGGCACAACCTCGATAATAATATTATGTGTAGGTCTGCTGGTTCCTATAAATAATTCTATTCTACTTATAATAATTCTGATGTTGAATTATTATGTTTGAGATATATGCTTGCAATCTGTCATATTAGACAAATGTATTAAAGGGCACCTAGGTTACCCCTTTTTTCAGATTTAATATAAGTCTTTTGCGTCTCTAGAATGTGTATATAAAGTTTCAGATCAAAATACCCATCAGATTTTTCATTATACCTTTTACAAGATGCTGTTTTATACTGATTTCCAGCAGGGGGTGGTTTTGTCGTACTGCGCCTTTAAGACAATTCTTTCCTGCCCACTTTCTCGCCCACTACATGCCTCCTCCCTCAGCTGCGTCAGACAACAGACAGACTTAAAGGAATAAGGTCTCACGTAGCGTTTGTGAGATACAACAGTAAGAACTAACCTTTACTAATCAGTATTGTGAAGTTGCATTGATGAGTCACACACAATATCGTTACAAAGTTAACACGCACACACACACACACACACACACACACACACACACACACACACAGGCAGGCAGACAGAGCGCGCTTAGCTTAGTTAAGGCTAACCTCCAGTACTGTGTGGATATCTGTTATGCTAATGTACAAAATAAACCTGATTTAACTACCACAAACCGGGATTGAAGCGTCTTCTTTTATAATTGTTCTGACACGCGGCTGTGCTGATGAAGTAAAGCTGAAGTAAAACGCTGTAATTAATTACACACATACTCTGTTTTAAAACACTTGAAACGTGTGAAACTTACTCTTAATCACATTTGATGATGATTGCTGATCCTAGCGAACAGAACAGAGCTTTTATTCCCGGTTGCTTTGAGTATGTCTGTCTGGTCTTGTTGACATATACACGCGACTACCGGAACATGTCAATGCGTGCAGCTGTCAATCAATTCGGTGGGCGGGGGGATCGCACACCTACGTAATAGTGCGATAGATTTGAAAACAGCTGCAATTGGCCGACCCTTTTTTTTGTAGTTAAATTGAAAAAAAAGGACTGGGTGTGTTCATATCACCCCAGTATGACGTTCTATACACTATACCAACACACAGATCTGTCCAAACAGCTTGAAAAGTAGATTTTTTTACCATAGGTGCCCTTTAAAATCAGACATTTGTCATTATCAGATTATATTCAACAATAGGCTAGAGTACTTATACTAATATTGTAAACATTTATTTTCATGTACAACTGTGAGTTCGCTATGAAAGAAAAAACATATCAAATGCTTGTCTTAACCATAACTCTAAAATGGGATACGATCATTTAAATAAAGGGCACACTTTCGGTTTAATTCTGACTGCTAAGTGCTTATTCATACTTCGCGAGCGGCTCTCAAACGATCACTCAATGCCACAAACAGAATATTATTTACAACTGTATTACCTGTTACTCGCAACATTATAAGGTTCTGTTCACTAAAGTAGACGCGCGCGTGTGTATTATTAAGTAGAGCGCGCGCAAGCCCTCTGTTATAACAGCTCACGGTCAGAAACTCATGTCACGTGTGATTTGAGTAAACATTTCCCTGACATTATCAAATTTAATCTATTTTTTTGTTTTTGTTTTGTACAGTAAATTATTTTCTTACCTCAACCCCTGTTGTCTTAATTTGTCCACTATTGTTGTACCATCCCTCTCTCCACGGCCAAACCTTTTCTTCTGAAAGAACTATATATATATATATATATATATATATATATATATATATATATATATATATATATATATATATATATATATATATATATAGCCCCCCTTTGATTTATTTTTCTTCTTTTTTAAATATCTACCAAATTATGTTTAACAGAGAAAGGAAATTTTCACAGTAAGTCTGATAATATTTTTTCTTCTGGAGAAAGTTCTATTTATTTTATTTCAGCTAGAATAAAAACTTAATTTTTTACACAACATTTTAAGGATAAATTATTAGCCTCTTTACACATTTTTTTTTATAGTCTACAGAACAAACCATCGTTATACAATAACTTGCCTATTTACCCTAACCTGCCTAGATAACCTAATTAACCTAGTTAAGTTAAATATATATACTTTGCTTATACTATATAAATTGACTTAAATTCAATGGTTGTTAAATGGTTGTCATTTAATTAAATGGTTGTCATTTAAAACCATTCTTAATGTAATCAATCAGCTGTGAAGTATCATGATAACTATTAGATATTTTAGTGTCCTGTCCTAAATCTGAGTGTTTTTTAACAGCCTCAGTTGTGCAACAGGTCAGATGAGTCATTTCCTGCTTTGGCGTAGGCACTATTGTGTGTGGTGGGGGTCTGCTTCATGCTTTAGTTTGTATGAGGCTGAATGCTGCTGATGTCATCATTCTTCCTTTGATTCCAGTATTAGCTCAGTCTGACTGATCTGGTTAGGCCTCAAACAAAACACATGTTTAAGACCTCTAAAACCATTTCCAAAGACAACGAGTCACTATTACCCAGAATCCTTTTCATTAGAATTCCCAGTTCTGATGTAGTAGATTGTGTCAAAACCCCCCAACCTTTTCTACACTTTACATTTAGCATTGATTTACAATTTTAAAACAAAAAAGAATTAATATAAATGTGAAACTATTAAAAATATGGAATATGGATAGTTATTCAAATGTAAAATGAATCTGTCATGACATCTAGTCATATATGTGTGTGCATCCTTCCTCATTAATTGGTGATATTGCTCAAAAAATTTTCCTTTAGCAATCGTTCTCTGTTGTTGCCATTTCCATAAGCTATAAAGTACAAGTGATGAGTTCGGAAAGTAAAAACATTAATTTTTCTATGGGCAAACAGATTTTTTTTAAATGACATGAACAGACCTGTTGTAAGCTCTGAGGGTGTTAATCACTGTTTTATTTTTATTTTATGGTAAAGTTATAAAAATATAATAGCATTTATATGTAGTAACACTTCACCTGAGCACTAATTGTGTAATGTGGATGTGTAATAAAGGAATGGATGTTGTTTGTCCAGTCACAGGATGTGCAGAATGTGTCAGTGTTTGAGGAATGCTGTGTTTAGTCTGGGCACAGCACCTTATCACTTTATGACACCCTAGTAGGGATACACTGCGTAATTTAGTGGGTGTGTTCATATCATGTAATGGATGTCTATTGCACCGAGAGAGAGAGAGAGAGAGAGAGAATCAATCTTGGATACTTTTAAATACACACTTTGCATATGCTACTGGTTGCTTTTGAAGTCCTCTTTTCTGTCATTCATTCATTTCCCTTTCTTCATCAGCGGTCGGCACAGAGGCGATCATGCTACCCGCTGCTCCACCATGTCACCTCCTCTTTTTTGTAACATTAATAACTGATCCATAACATGTAGTCAATAACTGATGCTGTAACACCCATACTGTTCCTCAGGCTCCTTGTGGGATCTCCATGGAAGGGTTACACTCAAAATCGCAAGGGAGAAATCTATAAATGTGATATGAACAAACCTGGAAGCGTCTGTCAACCACTGAATCTTCAAAGTAAGCACCCATTTCCTATCATTCCTAGTGGTATGCAGTCATTGTCCACTTTATCAGATACTGTTCAGGTGCTTGTTAATGCAAATACCTAATCAGCCAATCACAAGATACTGTAGCAGCTGCATTTAGTCATTCATTGATTTATTTTCTTTTTGGCTTAGTCTCTTTATTTATGAATCTGGGGTTTTAACAGCGGAATAAACCGCCACCTTATCCAGCATATGTTTTATGCAGCGGATGCCCTTCCAGCTGCAACCCATCACTGGGAAACATCCATGCACACTCATTCACACTTATACACTACAGACAATTTTAGCTTACCCAATAGGGTATATGCCAAGCTAGTGCAGTTCCCATGCTGATACACTTCCGGTGACCTGTTATTGTGAACTTTCTCATTTTATATGGTTCCTTATACAGCATCGATGTTGTAATGTCATTAAAATACATTCGGTTAATAAACTTTAGCATTTATTTAGTTGCTCAAGCGTAAAGCGAGACAAAAAGCGGTTTACTCACACGCACCCGTCAGAATCGGCAGGCTAACGCAGCAGCTCCATTGAATAAACTGGGGTAAAATAAATGCTCATATTATAAAGATATGGCAGGGGAAATGTAATTTAATGCAGTGCTTCTTGTACAATCTGAGACCCACTTTAAATCGGATATCACTCAGCTAGTCGAGATCGCTGATTTTTAAAGAAAACAGACCTTACACGCATCGGATTTGCATTGGCATTCAATTCACCGGAAGCGCTTAACCCAGGTTACTGGCAAATTAAAAGTCCTATTAGCATGCTTCAGCATATACCCCATTCACCTATACCGCATGTCTTTGGACTTGTAGGGGAAACTGGAGCACCCAGAGGAAACCCCTGCAAACACCAGGATAACATGTTTGACTGTCTGATAGAAAGGCAACAGTAACTTAAAGATCCACTTGTTACAAGCAAGGTCTGATAAGGAGCATCTCTGAACAAACAACACATCAAACCTTAAAACAGATGAGATGAGCTCACCCATACTCATGTCAGCAAATGTTGCATTTCAGACAACTAGGAATTGGGAGTTTTGCTGTTTCCTACTTTGGAAATAATTTCTAGAATGCCGATGGAAATCAGACATCTAACCTTTGAACTCAAACTGAAGAACCCTGATTTTAGCGAGAATCATCATTTGGCATCACGGTACTGATGGCAGCTAGATCTGCTTCATGCACAGAGCTGCCTTATGTGAAACATATTAATAAACTTTATGTACAGTTGAAGTCAGAATTATTAGCACCCCGTTTATTTTTTTCATTGGGTCCCTTAGTACCAAATAAGCATTGTTTCAAATCAACCTACCCAAGTATTTTTATTGACCGTATCCATACGTTAATTACCACAGTGTAACTCATCTTGTGATGGCTACTTCTAACAGGCTAATGTGTTAAACCCAAAGAGTGGCCAGTCACCAAATTTCACACCAATTATTGGAGCACCTTTGGCATGTGCTGGATTGGGAGATTTACAAATCCGCTGCAACTGCTTGATGTGATCATGTCAACATGGACCAAAATCTTATTAGAAATTTCCAGCACCTTGTTGAATCAAATGCCATGAAGACAGTTTAAAGGCAAAAGGGGTCCAGCCGGGTACTAACAACATATACTGTATCATAGGATGATTTCATAATTTAATGCTGTAAAGTTCAAGAGTAAAGTTGTGATGAGCCCAAGGCTCGAACCCAGGTCGCTGGTGTAGTATACCAGTGTTTTAACGTTCAGCCACAGAGGGAGTTGGTGAGCCCACTTGCTAAGGCACAAGGTCTAGTTCAAACAAAGGTGTTTATTAAGGAAATCCAAAATCATCAAAAAAAAAGCAGCCAGGCAAAAAGTAGGAACTCTACAAGCTAAGCAGTTAACAAACATAAAGTTCTCCGTAGAGCAAAGGGTACTAAAGCCAAAAAATACAAAAGGTACTGACAAGAGGACTTACGGCAACAGCGGTAGCACTTCAAACTCAAAAACCAAGTGACAAGTGAAGACAAGAGGGTAGAATAAATAGGCTAGTCTAACAAGACACAGCTGAACCAAATTAATTCAAATGAACCACAAACAGAAACACTGGGGAAAATGGTGACATCTTGTGGAGAAAACAAACAATAGCTCAGAATATGACAAAAGTTTTTGATTCATTCATTCATACATTTTCTTTTCGGCTTAGTCCCTTTATTAATCTGGGTTCGCCACAGTGGAACGAACCAATTTATCCAGCATATGTTTTACGCAGCGAATGCCCTTCCAGCTGCAACCCATTATTGGGAAACATCCACACTAATTCACACACATACACTATGGACAATTTTGTTTATCCAATTCACCTTAACCACATGTCTTTAGACTTGTGGAAAAAACCACAGCACCCGGAGGAAACCCACGCGAACATGGGGACAACATGCAAACTTCACACAGAAAAGCCAACTGATCCAGCTGAGGCTTGAACCAGCAACCTTCTTGCTGTGAGGCGATCGTGCTACACACTGCGCCACTGTACCACCCCAAAGTTTATAATAATAAGTTTCATAATGTATTAAATAATGTAATAAACCTTGAAGGTAGAGGTTACCATGTCAGTATAGGTGACCATAGGTCGAGGTGGACACCCATGACGTGTGGAGTCCCACAAGGCTCGATTCTGGCAGCTCTCCTGTTCAACCTTTACATGCTCCCTCTGAGCCAAATAATGAGAAAGAACCAAATCTCCTACCACAGCTATGCTGATGACACTCAGATCTACCTAGCCTTACTGCCTAATGACTACAGCCCCATTGACACCCTCTGCCAATGCATTGATGAAATGAGCAATTGGATGTGCCAAAACTTTCTTCAGTTAAACAAAGAGAAAACTGAAATGATTGTGTTTGGAAACAAAGATGAGGTTCTCAAGGTAAATGCGTACCTTGGCACTAAAGGTCAAACGACAAAAAAATAAGGTCAAGAATCTTGGTGTGACTCTTGAGTCAGATCTGAGTTTCAACAGTCATGTCAAAGCAGTCAGTAAATCAGCATACTATCATCTCAAAAACATAGCAAGAATCAGATGCTTTGTTTCTAGTGAAGATTTAGAAAAACTTGTTCATGCTTTTATCAGCAGCAGGTTGGATTACTGTAATGGACTCCTCACTGGTCTTCCTAAAAAGACAGTCAGACAGTTGCAGCTCATCCAGAACGGTGCAGCCAGAATTCTAACCAGAACCAGAAAATCAGAGCACATCACACCTGTCCTCAGGTCTCTACACTGGCTGCCAGTTACATTCAGAATAGATTTTAAAGTATTATTACTGGTCTATAAATCACTAAATGGCCTAGGACCTAAATACATTACAGATATGTTTACTGAATACAAACCTAACAGATCACTCAGATCTTTAGGATCATATAAACTAGAAGTTCCAAGAGTTCAGTCAAAGCAGGGTGAATCGGCTTTTAGCCACTATGCCCCTCGCTGCTGGAATCAGCTTCCAGAAATGATCAGATGTGTTCCAACATTAGGCACATTCAAATCAAGACTGAAAACACATCTGTTTAGCTGTGCCTTTACTGAATGAGCACTGTGCTGCGTCCGACAGATTGCACTATCATGTTTTTCTCTTCTTCTTCATTCTTTTATATCACATTTGACCTGTTTTTATGATTTGTGTTTGTTTTTACGCATTTTTATTATTTGTTTTTATTTTTATTTTACTTGTTTCTTTTATTCTTGTTTATGTAAAGCACTTTGAATTGCCATTGTGTATGAAATGTGCTATATAGATAATCTTGCCTTGCCTTGCCTTGCCTAAACTATTCAATGTGCGGTGCTTTCAGATTCTGTGGATGTGTCAAGCATCTCCAACGGCAACAACATCAACATGAGTCTAGGTCTTACTCTGACTCCAACTACCAAAAATAATGGCTTTATGGTAGGATTGTCCACTTTCCAATAAGTAACATACAGAAACACGTTACTGATATGCAATCAACTGACATGCAATTGTTTTAGGATAAGCTTGTTTCTAGGATTTGTTTTGTGGTTCTAGCTTCTTTACAGGTTATTGTAAGACACTATTAAGTTTATTCTTATCCTGTTTCCTGATTATAGCATGTGTTTAGGTTGCTTTAATACATTGCTGCTGTGTTTGGAATGTTGTTAGCATGCATTGACACCAGGGGTGCACGATTAATAGAAAATGTTGGTGACCCCTGAATCAGATCATCAAATCAATAACCAATCTTAAATCATACCAAAAAGAGGGTTTAGAAATGTTTTACCTGAAATAAGAGCTACACACAGCAATTGTGCAGGATATCTGGATACCACCCTTCTTTAAATACCTCTAGCTTCACCACATGTTGCTGTTTATTTATTTTCTTACTATTTGGGCACCTCACTCCAGAGATTTTTAACAGAGATTTTTAACATTATTTTTCTTGGTATGTACGTATAGGAAGTCTTTGGAAGATAAGTGATAACTTTGTGAGTATGCCTGATTTTAGTTTATCTTTTTCCAGCTCAATTTCTTGTAGCTTAAAACTGAACATTTCAACCTTTAGGGAGGTGAGACGTTTTTACCAGACACACTGAGACCTTAAAAATGACTCTAAACATGAATGAATACGTTCTATCTTAGTTAAACTTGATTACTTTTAGATATCATTTGGGAATCTGATGTTGGGAACAAGGAAGGGAAGGTGAGTGAAGGCTCAGATGTGGTCGATCATCCAGTAAGCTGTGATACCACCATGCAGGGGATGATGAATGTAGGTTCTTTGGAAAAGTTCACAGATTTCTCTTCTTGTAGTAACTTGTTTTCCCAAGTGTGTTCCTGCAGAGAATTAGTTGATTCTGGTACAAATGTTACTGGACAAACTATATTCACCAGGTTGACCTACCCATGTAAGTTGCTTTGCTTCATTTGATTTGTACACTGTAAAACACAACAGTCAACTTTATCATAAATGAATTAAGTATAGTTAACTCAAAATTGACTAAAAGTTAATTCTACACATTTAAAAAGAGTTTTGAACTCTGTGTTGAAGTAATGAATTAATTATATACCTCATTACTTCAACTTAAGTGGAGTAATTTCACAGTAAGTTCACATCGGTTTCCTCAAATGGTTTTGAGTTGCTTTAACTTATTGGGTTTTACAGTACTCAATTGGTTTGAGTTCTCTTCATTTATTGGGTTTTGCTGTGCTCACATTGCTTCGTTTACTCAAATGGATTAAGTTCATAGTACTCATTGGGATTAGTTTTTGAAATTAAATGGTTTGTTGCAATCGGTTTTCTCAAACGGTTTGAGTTACCGTAACTTTTTTGGGTTTTACAGTGTATATCCTTCCACGTGGCCTCATGGGATAGTAAAGTGTCCATTGCATGTGCTTTTCAGGATCTTGCAGGTTACTGAGCTGAGTTGTGAGTAATATGTCAACTGAGTAGTAGGTCCGAATACATATTAAATTTATGAATGAGAGTGAATCAACACAATTGACCATTACTCATACAAACCGACCACCAACAACAGCTTTTATGTTCTCAATTGTTACATAGTCATCAATTCTGGGATATTAATATAAATTGTCTTCAAACTGTTTAAACTAAAACAATCTCAGTATTTTAAGCTGTAACAAAATGATTTATAAATGCCTTGTTACCTCACTATATCCATATTTTCAACAAGAGAAAGTTCATACTTTTTAACTGGTCCATGTATGCAGTTATCATTAAAATCCTATTATGTGACTTTGTGTTTTAGACGTGTGGTCCGCTGTGGGCTCAGCTCTGTGGAAGTCAGTACTTTTACCCAGGAGTCTGTGCTGATGTGAGCCCACAGTTTACCCTCCAGTCGGCTTTTTCCCCTGCTGTTCAAAGTACTAACACACATCTGTATCCTCTCTCTGAAAGTTTACTCTTCAGGTTAACCTGGTATTAACATTTGTCTTCTTCCGTTTCACTTCTAAACAGCTTGTGGTAGTCTTATGGACATTGCCATTGTTTTAGATGGATCCAACAGTATATACCCATGGGAACCAATTGTTGATTTCCTGGTGAAACTGTTGGAAAACTTAAATATTGGACCTCAAAGCACCCAGGTAAGTCGAACAGCTTATGTTTTTGTAAACTGTATATTATTGGGTTTTTTTTAGTTTTTTTTTTAGCAATGACATTTCTGATTTCATTTGGAACAGGTCAGTGTTATGCAGTACGGTGTTGACACTACGTTCCAGTTTTACTTGAATTCCTACAAGACAAAAGAGTCTATGATTAAAGCAGCTTCAAATATGCAGCAGAAACAAGGATTAGAGACCAATACTTTCAAAGCCATTGACTTTGCAAGGTATAGTATAATTCTTTCTGAGCAGCCTCACTTACATCATGTAATCTACTGTTATTGAATTAATAAACAACATAGTAACTTTTATTTATTTATTAATGGGTTGTTTCTTGGTTGTTTAGGCATATGTTAGCTGGTTTTTGTAGCTTGTTGCTTTGTTCTTATACGCTATTAGGTTGCTTTATCATGCTGCTGGTACATTGTCATCGTAATCACAAGGGAGACGAGTGACAGTGGAGTGCAAACGGGTAGAAACAAGGCAATCCAGAGGCGTCATCAGGTAACAGGCAGATGGTTGGTACAGGCGGCAGACAGGGTAATGATAAAACAAAGCAAAGGTCTGAACAAGTGGAACCTATACCAGGGAACGCTTTTAATGTTACAAGGTATCAACCTTTAAAGACAAAGCAATGAGAGTGTCCAAGTGAGCTGTATAAAGCTGTGGTCACACTGCACTTTCCTCCACATCGACTTTCATTCATACGCATGCGAATGCGTCAGACCGGAAATGCAAGCTCATGCATCAAGTTTTGCAGTTCGCTGCATTGGAAAGTTCAAGCTTGGTGAACTCTTACCTGCAAAATTGTATCACTTGACTGCGTAAAACCAATCGAGAATCAAAACTTGACCCCTCTGGACAGAAATTTTAAATACGGAGCAATCGCTCGCTTTTTTTAATGTCTAATCATCTTGTGTAATCCTGCCCCTTTTCACAGCGCTGTACGACAGAATTTCGCACACACAAACTCACAGCTTAAATGTGTAGTGTAATCAGTACATGAGCAGTTTCAGCTGTGAGTCTAATCAATGACGACTTGGAACAGGTGTGTGTGTGTTGCATGACAGAACTTGTAGTTCTAATGAAGACAGGATTGTAGTTCATGTGAATGTTCTCCATGATCTGTGAGGGTTAGATCGCTGGTAATCCTAACAAACATGATATTAGCTTGTTGCATAGTTCTAGCATGTTTTTTAACCCATGCTAGCAGGAATTATTGTGTTGTTATCTAGTTGCAAGATTCTATTGCAATGCTGTTGTAGTTTGTTTTGAGACTAATAACATGTTTTATCACATTAGTTACAAAGTTCTATTGGGTTTCTAGGTTGTTTTAGCACACTGCTAGCTTGTATTGTCATGTTGTTAGCTAGTTGTAAGGTTTCAGTTTGTTTCTAAGTTATTTTACTGCTATTATTAGTATTAGTATTAGGTTTATAATACTGCTAGCTGTTTTTTTGTTCAATGTTGTTAGCTAGCTACAAGGTTCTAATATGCTTCAAGGATGTTTTAACACTGTTAGGATATTTTATCATGTAGCTAGTTCCAAGGTTTTATTGTGTTTCTACGTTGTTTTAGCACACTACTAATATGTTTTCACACATTGGCTGTGGCCAATTTCAAGAGTTCACACTTAGATATTGCTTGATGCTATTCGCAGATTTGGCATGCTGTCCTGGGAGAGAACCCTGAGCTCAGAGATAATTGAGCCCAGGGCACCCGCCTGGTTGATAGAGCATGTAAGGGGAATACGAGATCAAGTGGTTCTCGAGAGCTCCCAGTGGTAATGGAAAGAAGGGGGAGAAGGGGTGGATGGGGGATTTCTTCGTAAAACAAAGATAAGGGAGTAATTTTTGCTAAGCTACTTATAGTGATATTGGATTAATCTGATTGGCTAACTAATGATTGTAGAGGAGAGACCAGCTGCAGTCAATCATACCACATGCTCCTCTCGAAACTAGTTTGTGAAACTTCACTTATTAGTAATATTATTACACTTGCAAAACTTTGAAAATTATTTGAAAAAATAGTAAAAATAAGAAACAAAGGCATAATAAAAGACAATGCAATTGCAAGACAATTTTATTGTGTTTAATGTAACAAAAAGAAAATATAGGGCATCACATTATTTTAATGGTCCCTTTTGCATATTTATTTGACTGTAAGTTATATTGCATTCACATGCCAACTAATTAGTACTCGCTGTTTAATATCTAGTGACACTGCACCTAAAGACATTCTTCTGACTATAAGGAACTTTGCAAGTAAATGTCAGCCTACACTAAGCCTAACCTAACAGTCTACTAACATTTTAAAGATAATTAGTTACCATGTGGTTGTAATGCAACTTCTAATCAACAAGATGAGTTAAGGGGACCATCAACATAAAGCAACATAGACTCATGAAAACGTACCCCATGTACATTTCTGGAAATCACAAATTTTGTAGCCAGAGCTAGGTATGGCTGCAACTCATCTTTTAAACGAATGCTATGGGGCAGTATAGGACGTGTCTGAAGACTTGTTTCTTTTTGCGCTACCAGCCAACCAACATGGTAGATCTGAAAATTTGGTGAAAATCAGGCGGTCGTTGAGGCTTTTTTTTCTGGATTGCTTTTGAAAATACTGTTAGTTGGGTTTAGGGAAGGGTTTGGGTCAGTTGGTCAGTCAGTCAGTCAGTCGATAGTGGCCTCTGGTGGATTTTAGTGAGAACAGCAGGCACAAATGGCACTCGTGAAAGAAATTTGACATCTGAAAAAGGGTACACAGCGGTCTCTGGTGGATTTGTGAAAACAAAAACTGCAAACAATGTTCCTCATGTGACGTATTTCGCAATGCACAGAACTGTATATAGGGGTATGTATCAATAAAAAGTGACATAAAGTGATACCAGAAATTATTAAAGAAATCAACTCCTGAAATAAGTTGTCATGCAGAAATATTAAAATAATACAAGTAGTTTTATACATTAAACACTTAAACGTTCTTTGTTTGCATGTCTGTGGGTGATTTGATCTCATAGAACGAATGCATTCTTACCACAAAATGGAGGCCGTCCTGGAGCCACTAAAGTGATGGTGGTGGTAACAGATGGAGAGTCACATGATGCAAATATAAGGAACAAAGTTATTGCGGAATGTGATAGCCAAAATATCACACGTTTTGGCATTGCGGTTAGTGAAAAAAAAATAGATTTGCAGTCATATATAATACAGATATGGATCTTAATATTAAGCATAATTGAAAGTTGTACTTTTTTTCTTACTTTTTTAGGTTCTTGGATATTACATAAGAAATGATATTGACACAAGCAAGCTCATAGCTGAAATTAAGTCAATAGCAAGTAAACCAACTGAGAAATTCTTTTTCAACGTGTCTGAGGAAGCAGCACTTATAGAAATCGTGGGAACTCTCGGAGATCGAATCTTCAACATTGAAGGTCTGTAATTATGTTCATTTGACTGTTTTATGTCATTTTATGCCAGAAGTTGTAGTAAAGATGAAGAAATTATTGGTTCATTTGCCAAATAAGTCACAACGAGTGTCAAATATACATTTATTTATTGTAAGTTCCATTTTAAAAATCTAAAGAGTTTGAAGAGCCCCTATTATGCATTAAAAAGGTCATATTTTGGTTTTGGTGGTCTTCAACAACAGTCTGATATACAGTACATGCAAGGTCAAAAAACAGTTTCATTGTCTTATAATATGCATTTATTTTTATCTAATTATCTCAACGACTCCTACTTGATTCATTCAGCGATTCATTTGTTTCCAAACCCCTCCTCAGTGCGATGCTAATCTGTGCTGATTGGTCCAATGACCCAGTCTGTTCAAATCGATCGACTGCATTCTGTGCGAGACAGAGAGAAATTCCCAGCACAGCTTATCAGCAATATTTAAACTAGTCAGAGTGCGGACTATATGTGTGAGCCCAACGCAGGAGTGTACTAAAGCAATGCATCAAAGCAGTGCATTATCAATGCAGTTTTAGATGCGATATGAGAATATAAAGAGTTAACCAGATACAGTACAAGCGGTTACAAGTAACAAAACACAATTAAATGCATCATTTACATGCTAGAGAAAACAAGGAGGCAACCATTTTAATGACACTTACTTACACTTGTGAAATGGAGAAAGAAACTGGTCCATGAACTGTGTACTGTAAAGTTCATGTAAAGTCCCATATATCAATAGTCTTTTCTGATCCTTTTTTTAACAAACGGCCGACGAATCCCCTGGCATAAGCGTGTAGATTGCTGCAGCCCTCATCAGAAAAATTATGGGAATGCAGCACAAGGCTGAGGCTATAATACTGAGGTATTTTTGCAAAAATAAACTTCAACCACTGACTCTTCACAGCCCCATCTTTGAGTAGGGAAAATAACACTTACTTTCCTTCACACTTCAGAGCACATCGTCTACGCAACTTAATTCGACAGGGATCTGCTACAGTGTTTTTCTTCCTCTTTTGCTGTATACAGTGTTTGTGGGCAGCGCCAGGGGTTTCAATTTTCCTGAGTCTGTGTGCGGTGCTTGAGTTTCGTGTATAAGTCACAGCGTCACGGCTAAAGATTAATTACCACGGCGATTCATTAGAACCACTATCAGTCGACTTTTTTATCGATAAATCAATGTTTTAAACACGGCGCACTTTCAGATTTAAGCCTTAGCTAGATATTTCACTTCACTTGTGTTACACACTACAAAGTAGGTCATTTTCAAAAACCTTTAATAGGGGCTCTTTAAAATGTAAGATTATTTTCTATTCTGAGTAACATAGAACAAAGCTTACGCCTGTTTCACACTGCAAGCGTGAGCAGCATGTGTGCAGCACGTAGGATGAACAGAAGCAGTGCGCAGTGTTTTCCTTTCACACCAACTGCGTCTGCAGCGCGCAGCTCTGCTCATCGGCAGCTGCTGCACAGATCAATCTATCTCTGTCTATTCTATCTAGTTACCTGTCTATCTGTCTATATATAAATACACTATTTTTATTACTTTTCATCAGCTCCAAGGCCCGCAGCAACTTCTTCCTATGCTGTGTCCTTAACGTGCAATTATTTATTCTACAAATTATATAGATCCTACAGGACTGCATGCTTCTCAAGCTCTATGAGGAGTTTCATTCATGTCTGCTGCACTCAGAAGACAATCGCATGTGATATTATATCATTTTGTTTTTGATAGTCAGGATGATGTAGCCCTATATTTATACAATATAGTTATAATTATGTTTATACATGATCAAATTAGTGTGCAACTTACTAAGCAAAATTAATACTAAAGTTGTTTTACATTTGATTTTGTAGTTCGGACCTAAATAAATATTTGTTGCAGTCTTAAATTGTTTAGGTTTATTTGATTGATTATATATATGTCAGTGGATATTATTGATGAATTTATTGGGTAAACTTGCTACTTTTTACTGTCATTCAATGTGTTTTGGTCATTATCAGTCAATTGTCATTTTGATTGAGCATGAGCAGCATGGCAAAAATAGACCCAACGTCGAAACTATCAGCTTTCTGCATGCGGCACCGCTGCTTCAGCGATGCTCACGCCTCGCGCTGACGCGCTGCTTCTGCGTGCGGTATGCAAGCTCTAATCTGTTAACATGGACAGTGAAAAACCACGCACTCCTCACACTCTGCTCAGGCCCTGCTCGCACTTGCGGTGTCAAACAGGCTTTATTGTGATATTAGATTGCATGTGCAATACAAGCACAGTTTAGTAAAAATGTTAGTGAATCACTAATTTTGCATAGTGCATATTACATTAAAGTTTTATTAGTTTATCAGGACCAATATTGTTGTACATTGAGGCAACCCTGTACAAATAAATATAACAGACCAAACATGTTTAAATACCTTCTTTTCATTGTTGTTCCTTGACTGTTTCGTCTTTTTAGGTGTTGGAAAAGGTACTGGGGATAATTTCGAAATGGAAATGTCGCAAGTGGGATTCAGTGCATACCAGACTAGAAATAAGGTGTCTGCTTGTGTGTGTTTCAATCAAAGCACTTGTTAAATGGCTTGTCTACTGGAGGTTTACATTAAGTCTTGGTTGTAGGATGTGATTCTGCTGGGAGCAGCTGGAGCATATAATTGGATCGGGACTGTTGTTCACCAGACTGCTCAGAAATCAGACATTTTGCCCAAAACGGCTTTTGAGAAAGTCTTGGAGGACAAAAGCCACTGTTCATTACTTGGTAAGCATTGAGCCATACAGCAGTATCTATCTATCTATCTATCTATCTATCTATCTATCTATCTATCTATCTATCTATCTATCTATCTATCTATCTATCTATCTATCTATCTATCTATCTATCTATCTATCTATCTATCTATCTATCTATCTATCTATCTATCTATCTATCTATCTATCTATCTATCTATCTATCTATCTATCTATCTATCTATCTATCTATCTATCTATCTATCTATCTATCTATCTATCTATCTATCTATCTATCTATCTATCTATCTATCTATCTATCTATCTATCTATCTATCTATCTATCTATCTATCTATCTATCTATCTATCTATCTATCTATCTATCTATCTATCTATCTATCTATCTATCTATCTATCTATCTATCTATCTATCTATCTATCTATCTATCTATCTATCTATCTATCTATCTATCTATCTATCTATCTATCTATCTATCTATCTATCTATCTATCTATCTATCTATCTATCTATCTATCTATCTATCTATCTATCTATCTATCTATCTATCTATCTATCTATCTATCTATCTATCTATCTATCTATCTATCTATCTATCTATCTATCTATCTATCTATCTATCTATCTATCTATCTATCTATCTATCTATCTATCTATCTATCTATCTATCTATCTATCTATCTATCTATCTATCTATCTATCTATCTATCTATCTCTATTCAGGTTGTTTTGCCTCAAATGAATTGAAAAGTCATACAGTTACATGCATTTATATATTTTATACACCCTATCATGCATCCAGGCTACTCTGTGAGCTCTGTGACTGACGGATCGTCTGAGTATTATGTGGCTGGTGCTCCTCGTGCCGTTCACAGAGGACAGGTTGTAGTTTACAGCATTAACAGCCAGAAACAGGCTGTCGTCATAGACTCTCAAAGAGGAGATCAGGTACACTTGACCTTTAATGACCTTCAGCTTTAATAAACTAAAATGTAACGTCGTTTATCACTGTGGTTTGCAGATCGGCTCTTATTTTGGCAGTGTTCTCTGTCCTGTGGATGTGGACTCTGACGGTGTGACGGATCTGCTGCTGGTCGGAGCTCCGATGTACATGAGCGAGGAGAAAGCTGAAACCGGACGAGTCTACATGTTCACCATTACCAAGGTGTTTATCTTATTGTTCTTTCTCTTCTTTTTTGTTGCCCTCCTCTTCCTCCTGTATTACCTCCCAGACTAACATTCCACACTTCATTTTAACGGTTGAATTTTACAGGTTAAATTAGTTTGTCATCTGGGTATTTAAAGTCCACTTTTACTTTTTAGAATTTGCACTACTTACACTATTTATATTACAAAATGGCATAGAATAGTGCATAAGAATGCAACTTGGGACGACCTAATGTGTAATATTTGGCTCAATTCGACCAGAATAGTCATGAGTCAGAACTTGGCTAAAATTTTGACCAAAATACCATAAAATATGTTCAACCTAAACTGATAACCTGATAAGGGCATATATTTGACCCCTTTTTCAAAATTTTCTATGTTACTGCAGAAAATTTGCTTTCTATGTTACTGTTACTGCAGAGACATGCTAATATGCAGCTGTCAATCAATTCAGTGGGTGGGGAAACCGCACTTCTACATCACGTTGCGGTGGGCCTCAAAATGGAGCAGATTTGGATCCTATTTTAATGTCAGGAAATAAAAAAAGACACTTATTGTGTTTCTATCACCCCAAAATGACTGTGGACAAACTATACCTACACAAAGTTCTGTCCGAACAGCTTGCAAAAGATGATTTTCATCATAGGTGCCCTTTAAAACGTGCTGTTTCCATCTTAAACCAGCAAATAAACTTAGACTAAGCTAACACTAGCTGATTTGCTTATCTAAGCTGGAATTAGCTGGTTTTAGATGACATGATTCTAGCATTAAACACAACGCTCTATGCTGAAGTGTTCTTGCATCATTTATCACATTGAAGTGTTTTAGCACATTACTACCTTTCTAGCATTAACTGACTCACATTGCCGGCACCAATAGCCTAGAGGTTGGGTTGCATTGTGGTGCCATGGGGACCCGAGTTTGATTCCTGGCTTGAGGTCCTTTGCCGATCCTTTCCCTATCTCTGCTCCCCACACTTTCCTGGCTGTAAAATCTCCACTGTCCTGTCACAATTTAAGGTATTTTTAAATTTAGGGTAGAATTTGTGTTGTATAATGTGCTTTTCTGTATTATGCAGGGCTGGCGCATCCATAGAGGCGACCTAGGCGTTCACCTAGGGCAGCAGAATAGAGAAGGCGGCGTCCCAGACACTACCCTCACCACCCGCGCCCTCAGTTATATTTGTGAATAATAGAGAGGGCGGTGTCCGCGACAATACCCTCACCCCCCCCGCCCACAGTTCGCGTCTAGGGTGGCAGGATAGAGAGGGTGGCGTCCGCGACACTATCCTCACCACCCGCGCCCTCAGTAATATCCGCGACTAATAGAGAGGGCGGTGTCCGCGACAATACCCTCACCACCCGCGCCCTCAGTTCGCGTCTAGGGCACCAGGATAGAGAGGGCGGCGTCCGCGACACTACCCTCACCACCCGCGCCCTCAGTAATATCCACGACAAATAGAGAGGGCGGTGTCTGCGACACTATTCTCACCACCCGCGCCCTCAGCTTGCTCCAGCCCTGGTATTCTGTGTGACATGCTTGTATGCTCCCACCAAATTGCCTTTGGGAAATTAATAAAGACTGACAGACTGACTGATTGACTGATTGACTGACTGACTGACTGACTGACTGACTGACTGACTGACTGACAATAAGGGTGAAAAAAAACGAACACAATACTAGCATGATTAAACACACTGCTTACATGATTCTGATGGTCTGATAACGCAAACTTTTCTTGTCTTAAAACTGTGCTTACAGTATACAATAAGCTTATGAACACATTCTTTTTATTTTTTATATATATTTTTAAAAGGGTATCTTGAGTAACCAGGGTTTCTTAGAGGGCTCACAAAAGAACGCTCGGTTTGGGACAGCCATCGCTGCTGTCCCAGATCTCAACCTGGACGGCTTCAGTGATGTGGTTGTTGGAGCGCCAATGGAGGCCAATGACCAAGGTGCCATTTACATCTACTATGGTCACAGAAAAAGCATAAAAAAGCAGAGCTCACAGGTAAAATGACACACTTGACAAACTCCTTAACACGCATTAAATATATTCAAGTGCCAAAACTCATACTATTCTAACAAATTCAGAGAATCGTTGGAGGGAAACTGGACTCAGCTCTGAAGTTCTTCGGCCGCTCTCTGGACGGCAGTGGAGATATGAACGGAGACTCGATCCCAGATGTCGCAGTGGGGGGTTTTGGGAAAGTCGTCCAACTCTGGTGAGAAATTGAACACATCAGGCATCATTTCACTGTGGACACCAATTGATTTTCATACTTTGCGAGGGTGTAAAACAGCCTGATTCGATCACTGTAACATGACACCAGTCTAATTTGTAATACTTCATTAACTTCAACAATCGGGTTAAGTGGGGAACAGCTGCATCGACGGCCTCAGTCATGGTGTGATATTTGGACGTGTTTGAGGCCAAGGAAAAGATCGCTCCAGCTGTCCACTGGAATCCCATTTTTCACCTCAACAATCCTCTAAGCATCAGCTTTCTGTGGGACTCTTCTGTTTGTTCCAAAACCCATAAATCAATTGACGGTTGAGTTTTAATTGATGCATTCTTGAGCTTTTTCATTATATAATGCATTTGGTTTTAGGAGTCGAGGTCTGGCTGTGGTCACGGCCAAGGTTTCCTTCACCCCTGATAAGATCAGTATCTTGAGTAAACCGTGTCGCTACAGTGGCCGGCAGGTGTCCTGCTTTAAGGCTAAAGCATGCTTCAGTGCAACCTTTAAGCCAACAAACTCTATCAGGCTAATCGGTAAGGATACTGATTCTGATCTCCTTTTAGTTGATGGACACGTTTGGTCAAAGGAAGTGACGTATTTCATTGTTTCTTTCTACAAACAGATGTCAAGTACAACCTGACGCTGGATGCAGATCTGCAGGATTCCCGGGTCAGTCCTAGAGGTTATTTCAGCAACTTGGAACGGGTCATCCAGAAAGGCATCACAGTCTCTGCACAGGACTTGTGTGAAGAGCATGAGGTCTACGTGCAGGAGACCCCTGACCTCGTCAACTCAATTGCCTTGCGTGTGGACGTATTTCTCGGCAATCCAGATGCAAACCCAGTTCTGGATGTCTTCAGTCCTAATGCATGGGAGTTTTTTGTAAGTTTGCCAAAAAAAATTTTTGACTTTTAAAGGTGCCATATAATGAAAATCTGGAAATACCAAGGCATCACTAAATAATACAAATTTAGTACATGTAAATGATAAACTGTAAGTCTTAAACACCATTGTTTCTTTGGTCTCACTGAAATTCCACGAGTGTAACAGGCCTGTAGCCAGCCTGGTGAGAGGGATGGTTCTTTTTTTTCTCAAAAAGTGGAACTTTTTGTTGTTATACGCCCCCTTTTCTATTTAATTCTGAGATTTAAATGCTGCATTTTTGTGACATTTTAAGCACTATTTTTATTTTTGTCCAAAATTCATAAAAACCAACAATAGCCAAAGTAGTATTCAAATTTATTTTAATATGGCCCACTTTTGGTGCTTCACACCTTTTTATTGGTCATTTTTGTTTCAAGAATAAGGTCCAAGATTTAGAATAAAAGTTAATTGTGAAATGTCTTCTCTATTTAAAAACAATACAGTAGCGAAAGATGACCACTTAAATCAGATTATAAAATTAAAATATGTGTTAGCTTTAGCCAAAACTGATTAGCTAAAATCACGCCAACAGAGGATTCCACTTGTTTCTTAAAGTCTTTTTCAATGGGTTATTTTTACTATTAAAAATGGCATAGCTTTCCCAGAGATGGGTTGCGGCTGAAAGGGCATCCCCTCCATAAAAACGTGCTGGATAAGTTGGTGGTTCATTCCGCTGTGGCGACCCCGGATTAATAATGGGACTAAGCCGACAAGAAAATGAATGAATGAATGAAGATGTCATAGCAATCAAAATAGGACAAATGAGCTTATGTATGGGGCAAATTCTGGACCTTTCTCAGTGAGTGGATCTTCCGAACCACCCAAACCCCCCCTGCCAACGGGCCTCTGTAAAATCCTGACAAAATACAGGCCACTCAGAAAAAAAAACACAGACTCTAACGATCCTCATTGGATCATTAATATGCAATGATAGGCTAAGTTTTATGGGCCAAAAAGTTTTCAAAAAAGTGAGATTACAGAAATTAATTTTATGTTTATCTAAGCTTTTATTTAACATACTATATATGTGAGACTCTCATTTTGGAAACAGGACTGGCAGGGAGAATAAACAGAAGCCGTTTTGTGAAGCAGACAGTCATGCATGACGACACAATGTTTACAGCTCGTCAGAATGCAAAATGCAGGATATACAGATTACAATTTATTCAGGACCACCTAGAATAAAGTCTGTTTGAGTGTATCTTTTGTTGTGTGAAATTTGCTGTGCATGTTTTTAATGAGGCAACAGAAACACGTACTGATAAAATTAGTGTTTAATTACATTAATCATTTAATACTTACTGTGATTTGTTTTGAGTAAAAGGATGCCAAAAAACTTTATAAAGCTCCTGTTTATGAAGAGGTTGATAATAATATCTGCCTATGTTTTTAGATATGTTAAAACTTTAAAATACAACTCTAAATACATCTTTTCGTTCCCCTTTGCTTGAGTATATAATATTTTTGCTTTATGCAGTTATAAAATATAAAATAGTATTTCAGGGAACAACTTACCATATTACCATATAGATTTTGTATGAATTGATTGCTATTTTTATTGGTAATGAGTGAACATCTAGAATTAAAACTTTTATCAAAACTTAAAGTGAGCCTTTGCAGACTTTTTAGGTTGTCACTAAAACCAAAGGCTTCTGAATTCTACTCACATCTTTTTTAAGAGTGTGGTTCACTGTAACGGATATTTAAATGTTTTTACGCATGTTGTATGTAAAATATAAACTATAAATTGCTTCTATGATTAATACTTTTACTTTGAATACTATTACATTTAAATAATTTTATTAGGGTGTTCTAAAACAGCTGGAATTTTCAACTTATAGTTTGGCTTAGTTTCTGAAAAATTCTGTAATATCATCACAATACTGCTGTTTCCATGTATACTATATATTTAACACTGTGTGAGACAATATTTTAAAGATATGTGGACTTTGTTTGGAAAATAAGTATCTATAATTAATTTGTAATCGTATTAATGCCTAAAACATTATTTGCTTACCAACCAACAACACTATATGCATATCTAATTAAACTAGTTCCTACTGTTTATATATACTTTTTGGAATCTCTCAAAACTTACAGCCCCTTGTAGCCAAGTTCGAAAATGTCCATGAAGAATAGGAGAACACATAATCTTCGTACAGAAACCTGTCCCTAAACGCTTGTTGTTGTGTGTTTGTATCTCTGGGTTTGGTCTAGATCCCGTTCTCGAAAGACTGTGGCCAAGATGACGTCTGCTTGAGTGACCTGGTGTTGACTGTGGAGAGTGAAGAGAAACTTGGGTAAGAGTCTCTCCAGAACATGACCTAAACAAAAATTGGTAATAAATCATCTCTTACAAGGGATGTGAAGTTTATATGTGTTTGGCAGGTTTCTAGTTAACAGACCCTCAGTTTGTTTCGCAAAACATCCACCAACAGCTTAAACAGAGCCAATCCTCATTTGGTGTTAAAAAAAACATATAAGCAAAAAATAAAATAAAAAAAAACAATGTTCATTTTAATTCAATGAATATACAAACTGATTCAAAATAAGTCAAAACAGGAGGTTCTTTCAGACTGATTTACAAATGGATGGTATTTGATAGTACGGGTTTACTATTGTAAATTGAAAACATATTTAAAGGCATAGTTCATTAAAAACATACCATTCTGTCAACATTTACTTACCCTTCACTTGTTCAAAACCACTTTAGATTTCTTCCTTCTGTTAAACTGAAATAAGATAAAAGATATTTTCAAGCAAGCTGTAAAACTGGTAATCATTGACTTCCCAAATATGCATATTTTTATAATACACTTGTTTTCAGAAACGTAAAATGTAAAGTAAAAACTGAAGAATCATTTGATAGCATTAAACGTTTAGCATTTTTGAGGCACACATAGTTTAATTTACCTAAAATATAATGCATATTTAGTACATTAAGTACATAACTGGTTTGGAACCGCTTGAGGATGAGTAATTAGTACATTTTCATTTTAAATCACAACTGACTGTTGTTTATTCATAGTCCCTTTATTAATCAGGTGTCACCACTGCGAAATGAACCGCCAACTTATCCAGAGTATATTTTACGCAATGTATGACCTTACAGCCACAACCCGGCACTGCACCCATACACTCCGCATTCACACACATACACTTTGGCCAATTCAACTATTTCAATTTTCCTATAGCACGTCTTTAATTCATTTTCCGCTGTAGCTGTAGCACATAATAGATGCAAAACTAGCATGGTTACAAAACAAACTAATAATAAATAAATATATACAGTTGAAGTCAGAATTATTATTATTACCCTTTTTTCTTTTATAAATATTTCCCAAATGATGTTTAACAATCCAAGGAAATTTTCACAGTATGTCTGATAATATTTTTTTTTTTCTGGAGAAAGTCTTATTTGTTTTAAAAGCAGTTTTAAACTTTTTAATAACCATTTTAGGTTCAAAATTATTAACCCCTTTAAGATTTTTTCTACTGTCTACAGAACAAACCATCGTAATACAATAACTAATTTCCCTAACCTAACCTGCCTAGTTAACCTAATTAACCTAGTTAAGCCTTTAAATGTCACTTTAAACTGTATAGAAGTGTCTTAAAAAATATCTAGTCAAATATTATGTACTGTCTTTAGATTAGTTTAGATTAGATTAGATTTAACTTTATTGTCATTACACATGTACAAGTACAAGGGACCGAAATGCAGTATCATCATGGCAAAGGTAAAATAATCAGTTATCAGAGATGAGTTATTAAAGCTATTATGTGTAGAAATGTGTTGAAAAACATCTTCCCTCTGTTAAACAGAAATTGTAGGAAAAATTAAAAGGGGTTATGTGTGTATATATAGGAATATCTATAAGAAGCTTTTACAATATTATATTTGTGCATACACATTAGTTTAGTCAGTACTGAAGCCAAATTTAGAGCTTATCTAACAAAATAACTTACCATCATGTTCACAAATTATTAACCCAAATTTATGTTTATAAAAATATTAAATACAATTTTCAAAAATGGCAAAAATCAAGAGGAACAAAAATGTATACAATTTTGTTGAAATGTAGTTTGTAAAAAAAAAATCAATATTTTGCATGAATTTTAATGTAATATCTTTCCATTTCTAAAGATTTTAATATTTAATATATTATTTTAATAAATATATCTGTTTAATAAATCTGTTTTGTTCAAATGCACCAATATATATTACCCATATTTACTGAGAAATGGATAAAAATATTCCTTTTCAAAATGGGGTGTACTGATATATCCTAAGCACTGTACTTGTCTGAACACATTTACCCACATTTTGCACTCATTCATATGTGTTATCTTCTAGGCTACTACAGTACATTGTTATTGTTCACTTTTTTGCACACTTGAATTATATTTAGTTATCAGTGTGATTAACAGTGCATGACAAGTTTTGTTAATAATAATAATAATTTTACTATTGTCATCGTTGTTGTTGTAAATTAAATAAAAATTGATAATTCCATTTACTTTAAATTCAAAAAACAAGTAGTTTTGTACAGTACTTTGACAGAAAACATTGAAAATAAAGACCTTGAATATTTTCTGGAGTAGATTTATTAGAGTATCTGTAGTTTTTTAACAAGTGAAGTTTTTTATAAACTTATTTCGAGAGGATCACGTGCTTATAATTGACACAGCTGGTCCCGCATTAGCTAAAGTATGAGTCTCCAATCAGACGATTCCTAAATTAGTGTAAATAACCAAAGTGTCTTACCTAAGTCATCTTCATCTTGAAGAATCCCCCCTTCCACCCCCTCTCCCCCTCTTTTCCTTTATAGGGCAGCACAGCGGGCCAATAGTTAGCACTGTTGCCTCACAGCAAGAATGTCTCTGGTTCGGGTCTTTACAGAGTTCATGTTCCCCCAGGTTCTCCGGTTTCCTTCCACAGTCCAAAAAACATGCGACGTAATGAAATTGACTCAACTTAATTAGCACAAAGACAAACTTCAACCAGCAGCACATCCTTATACCAATCAGTGGGGGGATGAGGGGATGTCCTCAAGATCTACCTGAGCTCAAACTCCCCTCTCGCCCTGCAAACGGGTGTGAGCCCCAGGCTTGAGGATATTATGAGCTTAGGGTTCTCTCCCAGGACAGCATGCCAAACAAGCTTTATTACCAATCATCAGCTAAGTGTGAACTCTTGAATGTGTTCAATTTATGTACTTCCTCCACCACTGCTTAAACATTAACAATGAAAAATGGTTGACACTGTTAATTCATATAAACTTATTGCATCTGCATACGTTTTCTATCAGATGCTAAAATGACAATGAAACATGCAACCTTAATTGCAAAGGTTTTCTGTCATCAGTTATTTTGTATTGGCATTTTTAAGTCCTAAAAAAAACAAGCTTAAATTCAATTTGCACCTTGCATACTTCCATGCAAATTTGTCCTGTTTATGAAATCTGAAACCTGGTCTTATATGTGTAATGTAAAAATACAAGGTTATAACATTACTTTTTTGTTGTTGTTTTTTTATATTTTTTTCAGTAAAACCCCACTGGTGGTCAGCCAAAACAAGAGAAGACTGTCCTTCACGGTGACGGTGATGAACAGGAAGGAAAATGCGTATAATACACGAGTGTCGGCCAGTTACTCCAGTAACCTGTTCTACTCCTCTGTTACACCACTGGTAAACCCTCATGCATGAATGCATATAGAGGCACTGATGTACCCCTGTGGTCTGTACTAATATCCACTTCTGTGGTCTTTTGTTTTATTTGCGCACAAATATTCTCCCGCTTGATAATATTGAACCACTGAGGGCATATGGTCTGTTTTGAAGATGTTTTATCGGTATTTTTTAAGATTTTAAATGGGGGGGAAGGGGTGGAGTGTTGAGTGGGTGTTTTTCTTTTTGATTGTCAATATAATTTAAATACTTTTTACAAATTAGCAATTTTATGAGACATTTTATTGTATAATTTCTCTCGAAATACTTTTCTACCTAACTGTCAGTTTGTAGCAACTCCACAATATTAATACAATTCAACTGCACAAGACTTAATGCAAAGAAAACTGCCCAGAACACTTTAGCAACAGTTTAACAACACCCTGAATACCAGCCAATACATCAAGGCAAGTGCATAGCAGTGCCTTAAAAACCCCTGGAAGGTATTTGAACATTTTAGCCTTAACCATCGGATATCATTGCCCTGGGTACTATCCAAAACATCTTTGCAACTGCATAGTAACATGCTGAAAATTACCCTCAAATGCATACTATTATTAAAAACATTTATGATATACTCTACAATCTTAATGTAATCCAATTGTTCAAAATATATTGCAATGACCAGGAAACCATCCAGAACTTCTAAGCAACAGCATAGCAACACCCTGGAAACCACCCAGAACCCAACTGCATAACAATCCCCTGGAAACAACTCAAGGAAAAAAAAAGCATAGCAATGTCCCTGAACCCACCCTGGCCACTTAAAGGTGCAATAATAATAATAATAATAATAATAGATGGATTGATAATAATAATACATCACTGTACAACATAAATAAATAAATAAATAAATAAATAAATATGCAACTTTAAAAAGTATAAAATAGAGAAGATGATAAAATACGAAAAAAAAAATATATATATATACAAATTTATCACCCAGTTGTTGAACTAGGTGTTGCAAAAAAAAAAAAAATCTAAGCACTTTTTCATCCGCCCCCCTCCTCTGACAACCACAGGTTGCCAGATTAACAACACTAACATGAGCAAGTAGGCCTGACTATCGAGAATATACCATAACTACACGCGACAAAAGGAATCTGTTCCATTTTAAAGGAGTTTTTGGCCAAACAATAACCTGGAATTTTTATTTTAGAATTTTTTTTTTTTTTTTTACCCACAGCTGAATAGCATAAATACTATAACAAAAATCACCTCAGGTAGTACTTATTGTGCCTTTTTCGATGTTAAATGCTACCAGTGTGAGTTTGAATAATAAGAAATGGACATCATTTGTATAAAATGCACAGTACACTTTTTATTTTCTCATTTTACTGGTAAAATATAAATGTGTGTATTTTAAAAAACATCTCCATCTCAGTTTATCACCGAGTTTCTAGCAATTCTTAAAATTTGTCATTCATGACTGAGCTGAAATCTAGAAGCTAATCTCACGTGTGCAAATCTTAGCTGTTTTCAACTGACCCTCTGGTTTTTCAGTTTTGCACACTTATTGTCTTCACACATATACAGTTGAATTCAGAATTATTAGCCCCCTTTTGATTTGATTTGATTTTTTTAAATATTTCCCAAATGATTTTTAACAGAGCAAGGAAATTTTCACAGTATGTCTGATAATATTTTTTCTTCTGGAGAAAGTCTTATTTGTTTTATTTCAGCGAGAATAAAAGCAGTTATTAATTTTTTTAAACAATTTTTGGGACAAAATTATTAGCCCCTTTAAGCAAATTTTTTTTCGATAATCTACAGAACAAACCATTGTTATACAATAACTTGCCTAATTACCCTAACCTGCCTAGTTCACCTTATAAACCTAGTTAAGCCTTTAAATGTCACTTGAAGCTGTACAGATGTGTCTTGAAAAATATCAAGTAAAATATTTTTTATTGTCATCATGTCAAAGATAAAATAAATCCGTTATTAGAAATACGTTTTTAAAACTATTATACTTAGAAATGTGCTGAAACAATCTTCCCTCCTTTAAACAGAAATTGGTGAAAAAAATAAACAGGCGCGCTAATAATACAGGGGGGCTAATAATTCTGACTTCAACTGTATATTTGGACCAAATAAGTTCTTTAGGATCTGTATCATTTGTCAAATAAATACTTGCAGGTTAAGGAAACAACATGAGAAGAAGTTGCCGCAGGACTTGGTGCAGATGAAAAGTAAAAATAAAAAGTGTTTATATAGACGTATAGGTAACTAGATAGAATAGACAGATAGATGTGCAACAGTCGTCAATCTGCTACGCGCTCCAGGTGCAGCCCATGTGAAACGCAAACGTCTGCACGCTGTTTCTGTTCTCCATTAACATTGCACAAAATAAGAGTTTGTGATTGGGTCAGCCCAATGGCAATAAACAAAAGAACCAATGTCACATGGGCTGGTCTGTCCGAAAAAAAAGCGCGTCACAGATTACCGCATTGTCAATTAGTTAGGCAGTAAAAAATGATATCACGTCGGCCCACAGGGAATAGTACGTCGGCCCACAGGGAAACTGACTGGCCTGCCAGATGGCCAGTCCACCCCAGGGTAGGTTTAAGGGAGGGTTAAAGTGTAAGGGATGGTTAACAGTGTAATTATAAATGTAATTACAGAAATTAGTTACAGATGTAATTACATGCATGTATTTAATCAATCATAAGTACAATGTAAAAAGATGTATTTACACAATAAGTACATTGTAACGAATAATTAATTTCAATGTAAGCACATGTTAGTTGAGGCCACTTAATATAAAGTGGGACCAAATTTACATTCAGAAGATGTGAGCATTCAAAATTTGCAGTTATTTTTGCCAATATGGATTAATAATTTTTATGACACTATCATTCACTTACCATCAGCCCTGACCACAGATCTGACCAATCAAATGCTCTATATAGTATCTGAAGCATCCTCTCCCTGCTTATTTGCCTTATTCTGAATGCAATTGCTCTTTTCTGCAAGTGTTTTAAAGGGCTATAAAACATCCCTTTTTCAGTTCAAGTCTATGTTAAAATTTATTTTAAAAAGTGCTTTATGATGGGTGTGGAGCGCTGCCAGCAGATTATTAGTAATTTCATATTAACTTAGCCACAAATTGTTATATCATTATAAAGATAATCATGTAAACACTGTAAATGAGGAGGACTTCTCACCTCAATCCCTGGGTCTGAATGCAGACACAGTAGATAGCAGTGCAGCGGGTCTCTTGCCCTGTCTATTCCAACCATTAACCCTGCTGGTAATCGGGAGGATTTTAAAAATAGGCGAACACAGCAGCACGGATATAGGTGATGTGTCTGAATGGTACCGAAGTCAACTAATAAAAGACAAAGTCCCCCATTCTCCAATTCTCGTACTGCTCTCCCAACAAAAATGCTTGCTGCAAACCAACAGCTTTGCTGTGTCGGCCCTGACAGCATCACAGAGAAAAACAGCAACAAACCCCGTGAATAATAGAAACAAACACATAACATTTTGACCCTTCATGAAAGGATAAATACTGCTTGCTGTATTGCCTTGCTTATCACCCAGTCATTGGGTATCACCACTTGGCAGGTTGCTTTGCCTTCAGAAAGCACGTGCAGTCATGAATAATTAAGAAGCAGGTTCTTCTCATAGGATAAGAAAACTCTGCTTTGAATACGAATGAGAAACCGACACGTCATCACTCCACTAGCAGATAAGTCACTGATTTTGATCCCGCCCCTAAAACTATTTTAAATCGAGAAGATGAAATTAGCTCAAAATTATCCATTAATAATTGTCTGTATTAACTGTAATAATTATCTGTGTTAACTTTTTTTAACAGTAGGCGTCTACAGACTGTAGCGTTTCTGCACTTTTACGCTTCTGAACAATGTTTAATATTGTATAAATAATCAATTAAGTTGCAGAAAGCTT